TTACATTTCTGGTTTTCAACACTTCCTATAAGTTAAAAGTTGCAGTAAACTATTATCATTTTTTGCTGGTCCTCAAGAAAAAAATACTACAACGTTATGTGTGATATACCATTATCACAAAGAGTCATAGAAAGAATCCTGTAATTCTTGCAAAATCACTATAAATATTTATCACCACTCAGATCTCCAAAATGTCTTTTTAACAGCAGTGTTCCAGATATTATAAAATGCCATATAGTCAGGGCAAAAGATTGTGTCATTCAAAATTCATACTTAAAAGCATGCTTTGTAAAAATAATGGGATGAGGATAGAGGAGATAAATGTTATGTAATTCAAAGCCTTGAGCTAAAAATTGTCATAAAAATCAAACAAGCAACTGGGTTGATTGCACAATAATGCTCCAGCTAACTCCAAACCAGGCACTGAGAGAAATTATGCTAAACCATGAACAGACTGTGCAGCATAGCATCAAAGCATTATATATACATACAAGTTTCAATACTTTTAGAAATAAGCATTTCTTATTTAAAGGTTCAACCTCAAAGTATTTTTGCATAAGAATCCAAAGCCCTATTAAATAAAATCTAATTAGTGTCAAAGCTAGCCTTTGATTTTTTGTCTATCCAAGAACTTCCTGGATATTTAAAAATTTCAGTGGACACATTTTTTTTTTTTATTAAAACTAGACTTGCTGATTTCAGGATATTCTCAGAATTGTGCTGATTAAAAAAATTGAAAGGTAAAGGATAAAATATTGCTCCATTTCCTTTCTTTTCAGATAAAGACATTGATCCTGGTTTAGCTTGAGAAGCCATTTTTTACTGAGGTATATGTCATATTTTACATGGTAAATGTATGTGACATATATAACGGCAGCAATAAAAATTGTTATAATTCTAGAGCTGCAATTTGATTTTATAAACAATGAATATACAAGAGCAATGAAATGCAACACAGTCCTGACTTCTCAAGTTTCCAAAAATACTTTTTTATAGTGTATATTGCTTAGGCTATGGTACTTATACAGTATATATGGCAAACTGGATTGTCCTAGTAAAAGAAATATGATTTGTAATAGGATTATGTGAATAGCATCCTAGGTATGACAAATCTTAGCATAAGCTGAATGCATCTGTAAGAATATCTGGTAACTTGGTTCTGCTAAAAAAACTAAATAGTCCAGATATTAATTTTCACATTAGATAAATAGTTATGAGTTCAACTCTTATTTTACAATATATAACTTTCCAGATTAGAAGTGGCTGGTTTTCTTCTGATTAAATAGGATCTACGTTTGCAAAGAGAACTCCACTTGTGCTAGAAAACTGTTCCTACCTTGTTTGCAGTATGGAAAAGTTTAGGACCAAGACGATGGGAACAATATGAATGGTCCCATCATCTACTCCAGATTTGCCTACATGAGCTCATCTAATCATTTGGATTCCTGATTTCTTTATCTACCATGCATCCTTTATGAGATAACTCAGTAATATATTCAGAATGAAAATATAATACCATTTAGCTGCTAAGCATTGTTTTATGAAGCGGCCAGGAAAATAGATCTTTATTGTCTCCAGATTGAGTTGACCAGTGGTTCAAAGCTAGCTGTGACTATCAACAAGACTATATACAATTAACAGAATAGAATAGAATAGAATAGAATAGAATAGAATAGAATAAGTAACTTTATTGTCACTTTGAATATACACTAATCGGCATACATTAAATTGAAATTTTGTTGCATACAGCTTTCAAAGAGTCACCTCTGATATACACTATATAAATATGACAAAAATAAATAAATAAATACATACATACATACTCACATATGTACAGAATTATGCATATACCCACATATATGACACAGAGTAACAACAGTCTGGACCAAATATTCTGGACCAAATCAACCGACATGGCTGGCATTTCTAGTTAGAGTTTAGGCCAGTGATGGAGAACCTTTTAGAGACTGAGTGCCCAAACTGCAACCCAAAACCCACGTATGCATCGTCAAGTGCGGGTGGGTGTGGCCCATTGGCTGAGTGTGGCCTATTGGGTGGGCGTGGCCCATTGGGTGGGCGTGGCTGTGGTGGTAACACAGACTGGGTGGGACTAAAAAGTTCAATCAATCAATTCCAACTTTTCAAGATCTTTTTTTTGCCATGAGAAGTTAAAATTGACTGAACCTTTTTTTTTTTTTTTTTTTGCACATGGCAGCAGAGGCCTAAAGCAAAAAGGTTTTATAAAACCCAGCTGAAGGCCTAGGATTGGGGTGCCTCTGAGTGCCACCTCTGGCACCCGTGCCATAGGTTGGCCACCATTCATTTAGGCAGTCTAACTGGATCATGAAATCATGGCCGTTTAATTATTATTTATTTTATAAAACACATAGGTTCAGGTAACATATTAATAACAGTAGCTTGGTTCACAAAATGTAAGGAAAAAAGACCCACAACACTGATTACTGCTTATTTGTTTATTTATTAATTCAATTTGTCTTGCCCAATCCAAATAACTCTTAGCAAGTAACTATCACTCTTTTTATACAAAAAAGAATCTATGAACAATTTTAAAATACATTAAGTAAATTAAAACAAAATACAATGGTAAAGTCCAAGAAAACTAAGAGAAAAACATCAGTAAGAAATAATCATAAAGTTAAAAAAAAGATAGCTAAAAATACCATATAGGGGTCATGGAAAGAGGTCTTTATTTCTCTGATTTATAAAGTTGGAAAGGATTTTCATTATCTTGAAGCATAGACCTATTCCATAACTGAATGTAGATAATGAACTCTTCATGGCAATTCTTCTTAGGAGGATAAATGGTTTTGTAACTGAAATGATACATCTTGACCAAACATACTAATTATCATCATCATAGATAATGTCAGATGTATTTTAAACATACAGCAGAAGGACCAAAGTTTGTCCGTGATGCAGAAAAAAGAAAAATTTTGACAATCTGGAATGGGCTTTTTTGCCAGCAGTTCTTTATAAACATAGACGGGGGTCTAATTTTTTTACATGGATGTAGACTATGTAGACTATGTGTACAGAACAAAAAGCTAAAATTATAGACTCTACTGACTGCTGGAAATATGTAGTCTTGCTATACACTCGCAAAGTTCTGTGCTTATCTCTTCTAGGAACATCCCATCACCACCATCAATATGAGACAGCATATATATCACCACTCTTGGGGGCGGGGACAATATGTACATCTTCATACAGGTAGTCCTTGACTTACCACCATTTGTTTAGTGACTATTTAAAGTTACAACAACACTGAAAAAAGTGACTTATGATCGTTCTTCACATTGAGGACCATTGCAACATATCCATGGTCATATGATCAAAATTCAGATGCTCATATTTATGACGGTCACAGTGCCTTGAGGTCATGTGATCTATTTTTGACAAGCGTGTTTTTGACAAGCAAATCAATGGAAAAACCAGGTTCACTTAATAACTATGTTATTAATTTAACAATTGCAGTGATTCACTTAACAATTGTGGCAAGAAAAGTCATAAAATGAGGCAAAACTCACTTTACTGTTTCACTTAGCAACAGAAATTTTGGGCTCAATTGTGGCTGTAAATCGAGGACTACCTGTAATTAAAATAAAATGGCATTAGCCTAGGAACTGCCAGAGGGTAAGATAAACAACATGCCTTACATTATCCCTATGCAGTAATCAAAAAGATATTATCTACCTTAAAAGGCCATAATATTTTCACCCATTTGAAGAGAAGGAAAGAGCTGATACCAAATTTTAGGGCCAGATCCCTGAAGGCTTGAAGCTAGGAAACTATTAGTGTGATGTGAGGAATAGAAAGAATACTGTACTGTACTGAAAAATGAGAATACTGTAACATGGAATTGCAGAACAGTCTGAATGTTATTGCTCTAGACCAGTGTTTTGGATCCTGAAAAACTTTAAGATGTGTATGTTTCAATTTGCAGAATTCCCCACCTATCATGCTTGCTGGGGAATTCTGGGAATTAAAGTTATTGAGGTTGAGAAACACTGTTCCAATCACAGAAAAGACTCTGAGCAGTTTTATTTCTACTTGGAAACTGATTTTAGATTTTTTGTGAGAAACTGAAAAATCAAATGTTGATTTTGGAATTTGATTAGAATTATATAGGATTGTGGAAATAATGCAGATAAATGTTAACCTTAGAGTGAGGGTTTAAATATATTTTTTTAAGTTCATATGTCTACTAAAGAAAGTTGGAAGTCATTTGTTTTCTATTTTTCTTATTTTTTCTTTTTGCATTTATATCTTTTTCTTTTTTTAAACCTTTTTTCTTGTCTATTCATCTTTAAATTTTCTATTTCTGAAAATCAATAAAATGTTAAAAAGAAAAAGGACCATGGGATAGAGAGAAGAGTGAGGAACAGTTGCCAAAAGACTATTGCAATGATCTTGGCATGCAACAATCAAGTTCTACACCAATAAAGCCACGATCTCCTCTATCACAAATTCGCAGACCCTAAAAATATTTGCTTTTTCTGACGCATTTACTTAACAGATATATTAATTACTAAAATATCTATACATAAGCTAACTGACTTTAAAAACTGTTCCCAATAACAAAATTGCCAAAGAAATTAAAATACTGTAAACACGTGTTGCACAGCCACGTAGAATTGGTTGCAATCATTACAGTTGTAGATTACATTGTTTCTTTCATCCTGTGTCTTATCTTTGATTCTGGATAATTACTAGTGAAGTGTGGCTGTGGGTTTGTGGGTTATTGCTATTCCTAGGGGTTGGAGAATTCTGGCTGTCATTTCTTGTTTTGTATATGATAAGGTTAGTTTTTGTGTGGTGGTCAGCTGTGTGGTGTGGTGTGCTTTGGGTGCTGTGTGTCGAATACAAAGTTTTTGGGATAGCCATTACAGAGAAAGATGTCAAGCAGCCATTTCTCTTCTTCTTTTTTTAGTGCTGTGATGCAGTGTGTCAACCACCAGCAGTTCACCTTTCAAGGATCCTGACCTGATGTAACCTCCCCATCACAAGATCCATCACAAGCCTCTCACTGATGACTCACACCTGACCCATCACAAGACCCTCATTTGACACACTCACATTGGAAGCTCTTATAAACGAAAAGCACCGAGACAGACATCCCCTAAACTCTGCTGAAGATGTTACCTAGCCTGGTAATGAAATATTTGGAAACCAACTCACAAGCTTGGAGAATGAATCTTCAGCCTCATCCTACATCTGAGCTAAAATTATTAGCTACTATTGTAAGTATTTTATTATCAGTCCAGTTGACTTTTAAATATGGAATACGTGCAGGAATGGTAATGATGTGAGATTCCAGTATGTCTTTCCATTAGGTATATACTATATGGAGGAATATAATTTCTAAGATCCAGAGGGCATTTCTTAAGCTAAGCAGTAGGTGGATGAAATATAAGGAGAACAAGAGAGACATTATGGTATGTAATCAGCAGGAATATTATCTATTCTTTCATTAGAGGCTGCAGAACTTACTTTTCTATCTTCCATCTTGTTCCCGCAGCATATGAAAACTGAGACATCATAATTAATAATAAGAACATTTAAAATAATTAGTACAGATAGTCTTTTGACTTATGACTACAATAGGGAGTAGAAGAATCATTGTTAAGCAATATGATTGTTAAGTGAGGCATCACATAACTGCATTGATTTTATGACAGTTTTTGCCACAGTCATTAAACAAATCACTGCAATTGTTAAACAAGACATCCAGTTATTGTGACTTGAAAATTTGCCAGATGGCCTCCCCCATTCACTTTGCTTATTGGAAGATGGCTAAGAAGGCCACAAGTAGCGACCATGTGACCGTAGGGCACTGCAATTATTGTAAATATGCAATGGTTGCCAAACACTCAAATCATAATCAAGTAACTGCAGGGATATTGCAGTGGTCATAACTGCAAGGACTGATTGTGAGTCACTTCTTTCAGCTCCATCATAACTTCAAACAGTCATTAAGTCATGGTGTAGTGGCTAGAATGCAGTATTGCAGGCTAATTCACCGCTCACTATCAGGAGTTCAATCCTGACCAACTCAAGATTGACTCAGCCTTCCATCTTCAGAGATTGGTAAAATGAAGACCCAGATTGTTGGAGGCAATATGCTGACTCGGTAAACTCCTTAGAGAGGGCTACAAAGTGGTATATAAGTCTAAATACTATTGCAATTGCTATTAAGCAAATGATTGTAAGTCTAGGATTGCCTGTAAGTTGATTTTCTTTTTATTGAATAATATTATGACAGAGGAAAAATCCAGAACCTGTCAGATCATGGAGAATGTTTTGTAACATGGCTTATTTTAATAGGATAGAATAGGATAGGATAGGATAGAACCTTCTAATCCAGCCCCTGCTCAAAAAGGAGGATCTATATCAGTGGTGGGAATCTATGGCACAGGTGCCAGAGGCGGCACTTGGAGCCCTCTCTGTGGGCACACGTGCCGTTGCCCCAGCCTTGCCTCCCCCCACAACCCCCTCCTCTCCAGAAGCTCCCCTGAAAGAGAGTCGCCCTCGAGCGTGGCCCACACGGAGCAGCATAGCCAAGGACATGGCAGCCAGGCAGTGTAGACAAGACTCTGCCTTCACACCCCATCATGCAGTTGATGCTGCAGGGCACGGGCAGAGGGTGTGGCCGCCATAGTGCTGCTGGGCTGCCTGGGCGATCTGCGGTGGGCCCTGAAGGCGGTGAGTGGTCCTGTGGGCGGGTGGGGCAGGGGATGAGGGGCATAGCAGGGGTAGGGCAGGGGGGTGGAGCAGGGCAGGGCCAGTTCTTGGGCACTCGGTCTCTAAAAGGTTCGCCATCACTGATCTATACCATTTCAGATACGTGACTGTCTAGTCTCTTCTTAAAAACGTCAGTGATGGAGTGCTCACAATTTCTGAAGTTTCTCCTTAATTCCAGGTTGCTTCTCTCTTTGTTCAGTTTTCAACCATTGTTTCTCCTCCTGCCTTCTGGTGCTTTAGAGAATAGTTTAATGCCGTCTTCTTTGTGGCAGCCTCTCAAATACTGGAATACTACTACTACTAATAATAGTAAAGTTGGAAGGGACCTTGGAGGAAACCCTATACCATTTTGGACAAATGGCTGTCCAATCTCTTCTTAAAAACCTCCAGTGTTGGATCATTTACCACTTCTGGAGGCAGGTTGTTCCACTGGTTAATTGTTCTAACTATCAGGAAGTTTCTCCTTAGTTCTAGTTGCTTTTCTCCTTGCTTAGTTTCCACACGTTGCTTCTTGTCCTGCCTTCAGGCGCCTTTGAAAATAGCTTGAAACCCTCTTCTTTGTGGCAGCCCCTGAGATATTGGAAGACTGCTATCATGCCCCCCTTCGTCCTTTTCTTCATTAAACTAGACATACCCAATTCCAGCAACCGTTCCTTATATGCTTTAGCCTCCAGTCCCCTAATCATCTTTGTTGCTCTTCTCTGTACTCTTTCTAAAGTCTCAACATCTTTTTTACATCGTGGTGACCAAAACTGGATGCAGTATTCCAAGTGTGGCCTTACCAAGGCATTGTAAAGTGATATTAACACTTCACGTGATCTTGATTCTGTCCCTCAATGCAGCCTAGCACTGTGTTGGCCTTTTTGGCAGCTGCACCACACTGCTAGCTCATATTTAGGTGATTGTCTACTAGGACTTTGAGGTCCCTCTCACAGTTACTACTACTGAGATAGGTACCCCTTATACTATACCTGTGCATTTGTTTTTTTTCTTGCCTAAATGTTAAACCTTGCTTTTTTCACCATTGAATTTCATTTTGTTAGATAGCGCTCAGTGTTCAAGTCTGTCCAGATCCTTCTGTGTCTCAACCCTGTCTTCTGGAGTGTTGGCTATTCCTGCCAGCTTGGTGTCGTCTGCAAATTTGATGAGTTCCCCATCTATCCCCTTGTCCAGATCGTTGATATAGGTATTGAAGAGCACTGGGCCCAGAACAGAGCCTGCTATTATGTTCCCCCTATTATGTTCCCCCTATTTTTCCTTTTCTTTAGACTAGCCAAACTCAAGTTCTGCAGCTGTTCTTCATATGTTTTAGTCTCCAGGGCTTTGATCATTTTAGTTGCTCGTCTCTGAACTTTTTCCAAAGTCTCAACATCTCTTTGTAATATTGTGACCAAAATTGGTTGCAGTATTCCAGGTGAGCTCTTACTGAGGTTTATAAAGCGATACTAATTTTTCACATGATCTTGATTCTGTGCCTCTGTTTATGCAACCCAGGATTGTATTAGCTTATATTTTGAAGTGTAATACTTCAGCATGATCTTGGCCAAATTATAAAATGTTGACAATCAGAAGAGAAATTATTATTCTGTCTGAAATAAGTTAGAAATGGCAACTGTTTTTGCCTGGCTGGTATGTTTCAGCATATTGGCTGCATTCCAGGTCCCCAATAATAAAAATTGCCATCTTATGGGACCAAGGAATTGTGCCTTCTCTGTAATTGTCCTCACTCAGTGCAACAGCATCTTCGCAGAGATACAGATGATGCCTCCTCTCATGGAGTTCCAGACAGGTCTTATGAGAGCAAAGACTTGCCTTTGCTCTCATAACAACAGCAATTGTGACCCAGACAGAAGTCTTACATATTAGTAACTCTCTTAATTCAGTTTTGCCATAATTTTCTGCAGTTTGTTATTATTCCCAATTTTACTAGAAGGGTCATTTAATGCTGGACATGGAAAAAAAGAGTTTATTATTGTAGCTCTGATATAATGATATGCTAGAAACAAGACTTTGTTTCAAGAAAAGACATTCAGAAAAATGTGCAAAGAGGTTCAGCCCAGGATGATTTGCTACCAAAACTGAAAGCCAAGACTGGTTTATTTATTTATTAAAACTTAAAAATAACTATTTAACCTATAGTTTCACAACTGACCCTTAAAAGTAGAAAATTCATTCTGCCAAATTAATGCATATAGATCTGCCTAAATCCTAATGCTTTCTGGAGTTTATATCTTCAGTAGGTTCTGAATAATAATTGGTTGATGTTCTTGTTTCATTTTGATTACCAAATATGTAATTGGTGTTGTTTCATCAGGAATCTAAATGATCAGAAGATTTGTTTCAGAGTATTTACAAGAGCTGTGGTGGCAAACTCTGCCCACAGCTAGGAGTTCGATCCCGACCAGCTCAAGATTGACTCAGCCTTCCATCCTTCCGAGGTTGATAAAATGAGGACCCAGATTATTGGGACCAATATGTTGACTCTGAAACACTTAGAACGTGCTGTAAAGCCCTAAGGAGCGGTACATAAGTCTAAGTGTTATTGTTATTATTTCTGGTGTACAATGAGCCAAGAACCATCTTGCATTATACATTAACAGTTTTTCAACAAGTAGGGTTGTCTAACACAGAGGAAGAGGAAATCACTGAGATTAAGAAATTGTGGGTTTAGTGAACTTGAGCAAACAAAGAGAATAAACTTTTCTGACCCAAGATCATTACTACTTCATATATATATTTATATTAAAAATATAGATCACAGTCCCAAAATACTGAAAAAAAGAAATTCCCCAACCAATTTTGATTATATAATAGATGCCAGACACAAACCTGGCTTTATGTAATCTACTGATGGGATCTAAAACTATTAAAGATGGTTAGGCATTTTGAAGTTATTAGTGCAAAATCCAGATTAGAATTTCTATCTTTCTCCATTTCTCCTTTATGCTAACCTTAAAATGAGTCACTTTGATAGACTGTATGATACGCTCAGATCTGCATACAACAGTGCAACAATTGACTTTATGCCATATCTCACCATATAGATAATATCCATATGTAGAAAGCAATTATATTGAAAGCAATTCAATATAGGTAATAAAATGGTGATTTCTACTGCTGTATTTTTAATTAAAAATGACAACAATGAAACAAACATTCAGTTAGATGGGTTAAGCATCTCATAAGGCTTAAAATGCTCCTTAAACATCTGGCTAGTATAAGAAAAATTCTAGCTTCAAATTGGGTTGAAGAATTCAATCTGGCTTCTGCACTGTATCATAGCAATACCCTTTGCAGCCTTCAAAAGACTAACAAAATATAAAAAAAATAAAGCTATCCTCATGGCCTGTACTATTAATCTACCAAACTACTAAATATTACTTGGGACTAATATTTCTACCACTATTTTCTTGAGCACAGGTTCTCTTCAGGGCTGTGTCCTAAGTCTGTTGTTGTTCACCCTGTTGACTCATGACTGTTTGTCAGGTTTGCTACCAACCATATTGAAAAGTATGCAGATGATACAACAGTAGTGGGCCTTATTCAAGATGACAGTGAGGAAATAAATTTGCCACAAGGAAATAAAGGGTTTGGTGAACTAGTGTAACAAGAAAGCCTTGTTTTAAACATAGGAAAAACTAAAGAGATCATTGTCGATTTCAGAAAAGACAGGCACAACCACACTCCTCTTTGTATTAATGATTCTCCTGTGGAGGTGGTTAGCAGCATCAAGTTTCTGGGTGTGCAGCTAACAAGTACACTAGCTTGGTCACTCAACAGTGAGACACCGGTAAAGTGGGCATAGCAGTGCCTGCATTTTCTGTGTTGCATGAGAAAAGCACATCTTCCTTCTCTGTCCTGACCACTTTCTACAGAGGGACGATCGAGAGCATCCTGTCATACAGCATCACAGTCTGGTTTGGAAGCATCACTGCTTCAGACAGGAGGGCGTTGTAGAGCGTGGTGAGGATGGCTGAAAAGATTATTGGCAGTTCAGTTCTTTCTGTCCAGGACATAGCACATAAGCGATGCTCAAACAAGGTCCGCAGGATTGTCTGGGATGCTACAAATCCTCTCCACGACCTGTTTTCCTTGTTACCTTCTGGGTAACTGTGGTATCTGAAGCAAAACATCCAGATTCAGCCAGTTTTGTTCCATATAGCATCAACCTTGTGAACTCTCAAGTTTTTTCTTTCCACTATGTATTCAAAATGGACAGTAATTATATATATATATATATATATATATATATATATATATATATATATATATGGGTGTGTATGTGTGTGTGTGTGTGTAGCATGTGTATATGTCATTAATACAAAGAGGAATGTGGTTGTGCCTGTCTTTTCTGAAATGGACAATGATCTCTTTAGTTTTTCCTATGTTTAAAACAAGGCTTTCTTGTTACATCAGTTCACCAAACCCTTTATTTCCTTGTGGCAAATTTATTTCCTCACTGTCATCTTGAATAAGGCCCACTACTGTTGTATCATCTGCATACTTTTCAATATGGTTGGTAGCAAACCTGATAAACAGTCATGAGTCAACAGGGTGAACAACAACAGACTTAGGACACAGCCCTGAAGAGAACGTTTGTGTATGGGTAAATACATACTTTCGAGAGGAGGCAACAGAATTTCATTTTTAATGTGGGCCAGTGTGCTTATAGTAAAAAATGGCAATAAAGGTTATCTTATCTTATCATAATCAGCTGTTTCTGAAGCATGGAAAGTTTATAACACAAGAACAAATTGTATTATTCCTGATTGGGATATATGAAAAGAAGTTACTGGAATGTGCACATATTTAAGAAGTAATGTTGTGATAGTGGTCAATATTTAAAGATATTGGCCCATGTTTCTGGTGGTGAATTAGAATTGTGAGCAATACTTTCTCCCTAGGACGTCTTCAAACTTGGCCCTTTTATGACTTATGGACTTCAACTCCCAGAATTCCTCAGCCAAGCATGCTGAAGACCCCAGCCCTAGGACAATCTCTTTATCCTTAATCATTACAATACAGCAGCTAATAATACAGGATTGTCTTCAGGCTAGGTAGGATTAGCTTCACCACTGAATTTGTCCTCAGCAAATGAGCACGTATTCAGTATGATGTATTTTTTTAAGGAGTTGCCAAAATTACTTTATAAAACAAGTAGAAAATATAGATGGACAGATTTATTTGAAATGAGTGGGGAAAAAAAAGCAAAAATCATAGGAATTGTGCTTTTAGTGCCTCCTTGCATATATGCGTCCTCATATATGCATGCAACTAGAATTTGTTCTCCAGTTAGACAGGGCAGCCTTTTTGTAAGAGCATTCCATGATTTTCAGAATAAAAGCAGAGGAACGCATGATCTCACAGAGAAAGGAATATTTTTGATGTAAGTTAAGAACGTTCAGATTCTGGCTGTAGGCTTTTGGCAGCTGGTAGTGACCTCCAGCATCAGCAGTTCTCTTTCTTTGGCAACCCAGCTCCTTCCTTTAGTTTAGCAGCAGAAGAGCTTATGTGTTTCCTTGGATTCTTTAGTGATATGCAGGCAAACCTAGCCACAAAGAACAGCTGCAACTCAGGAAAACTAGAAGCAGCTGAAAATTGATTTAAGGCAAAAGACCAAGGACTTATCCAATGTTTTATCTTCCTTTTATTAACTATTATTTCCTTGAAAGATATTTTTGTCTTTAAGCCTGACCAGAAATGGCAGTTTATAATTTTTCGACTGTGGTCTTTTCATACTTATTTTCAAAATTCACAATGGCCTACACCCAGTGAAAGAGTAGATAAAATATATAAAGTGTGTATGTATTATTATAGGTATATGCACGTTATAATACATGTTTTCATTTTTCTAAAAAAGGTAAGTTTCAAGTTTTGTTTTCTGTCAGTGGTCTTATTTGAAACTCAAATAAGGATTTCTTTTTCTCTTTAGAGTGTTTAGCATTTCTTCAAGTTATGCTGAAGTTCACAATTTCCTGAGACTGTACCCTTCTACAGTACAGTTTTGATTTTTGTTTTATTTTTCAGAGATACGACAGTTGCTTTTACAAATGAGCAAAACAAATTCCTGTACTTGATCTTCTATAATCTAAGACTGAAAAAAAGCAGAAAAAAATTAATGGTGAGCACATGAATCTGTTGTGTGAAAGGAAAAGAACAGCAGAATATGCAAATAATTATACATATTTTAAAAAATTAAATAGTGCAAACTAATTTACATATTGAATCTCTTGGAGAATAGAAGAAAACTACATTTAGGAGAGAAAGGAAAACAAAAAACAAAACAAAAAGAGGGGGGGGAGGGAAGAGGAACAAATATGTTCAGGGAAACTATCCTAAGAGTACGGAAAAGGAAGGGATAAAGGTCAGGAAGAACACCAAGACTGAAAATCTTAGAGTAGAATTTAGCAACAAATTAAAAAAGGGTAAGACAGGTCAAACTGTTTAAGAGGCTGAAGGAAAAAAAAACCCACAAAATACATGTAGCAAATAAAAAGGCAAATATTAAAACTCAAATACATATAAGCAGTCAAAATAAAGTAGCAATATGCTTGCAATATGTAAATTCCAGATAGGCAAATGCATGAATTTGCTGTAGCAAAAACCATTGACATTTAAAAAAAAAATTAGGTTATTAGCTTTCGTAAACTAAATATTGGGGGCCACAAAATTAAGAGAGGAAAGAAGGTAGGAAGGGTGAAAATGATTTCAGATGCTGTGTTATATTGAAGAAAAATCAATAGAAGTCAAACTTTGTATAGTATAAAATTGTCTTCAATTTAGGAATCCATTATTATGTGACTGATATTTTGGAATTTATACAAAGAACAAAGTAATCTTCCTAACCATAAAGAAAAAGCCATGACATTTTTTTATTGGAAGGAACTTAAAGAAGTAGGTAACTATAAAGCTTTATATCATAGTACTAGTAATGGTTTCAATCACTACATTTTTTCTATTAGAAATGGAAAATATGTTAGAAATTTTAAACAGTCTAATGACAGGGAAAAGAAGACTGCTAGATGCAATTGTCATACTCAGCACCTGTAAGCCATATTCATCTATTGGCTTAAGATCTTTTTATCTATATTTTCCAGATGCCCATGTCCACTTTCTGCATATCCAAGTTGTTTATTTGTTGAATAGATAAGGTTGCCTGTGTTCAGCACACACCCTCTGCACTGAAGAACACAGTTGCCTTCACTAGTATCCCTAATCTACCATCCATTAATTTTTTTTTGGCTCAATCCAGTCTAATTTGTTACAGTTTGTACATTAATAGTCATAGGAAGTCATCTCCTTTTATAGTGCAGTTACTGAAAAAGCTGAATGTGAACCAGCCCTGCTACAAAGAAGAATGAAGCAGCTGACTTGGGCAATGACTTTAGTGTTGTAAAAGGGCAGGAAACCGTTACTCATGTAACTGATTATGATAGCATTTTGTAGTCAGGAGAGACACAGTTGTGGTATTTTCTGTCTCAGGGATCAAAATCTGACCAACTTTCATTTCTGTAAATCTTGTTTTGAGGGGGTGATCCTATATATTCCTCTGGAAAAGGTCAGGCCATCCTATTACACATTGCTAGTCCTTCCTTTCTCTAACTCAGCATTGCATTTTGTCTGGCACCAAGTTGTTAAAGATTCAGATGGCACTTTCCAAAGTCTCTGATTCTGAAGGAAATATAAGAAATATCCCCCTCTACAAGCATTATATTCCCAGTAAGTCTAAATTACAGTCTGCCCTCTATATACCAAACATCCATCTTTGCAAGGCTGGCAGGTGTGTGCAAAACTAGGTGCATGTGACAAGGGAAAATTGTCTTGTGCATCTGATGCTTGTATACATCTTACTATCCACCCTGCCTTTTATTAACATTTACCTACCTTAAATATCAAAATTGTTACTTTTGGAATTTTGTTATGAAGCTAAAAACTGGTGGAAAAATCCCTACCACTTTCCCAAGTATCCAGAAATATTTGAACATTTAAGGCTCTTGTTTGTGATTCAGAGATTTATTTATAAGAACTGCTGATCTTGGGACATCAAACATATACGTTCAAATTGCAGGAATGAGTCACATTTGTAGGAGGTAATTACTACCAGATCATACATCTAACTTTTGTAGGTTCCTCTTTTAAAATGTCCACTTAAAAGCAGCATGTTCTAAAAATAGCACGCTTTGTTATGCATTCAGTGTAATTCAGTTCTACTGTAAAATGTGGTTTCATGTACATAATCTGTGGGGGTTTAGGCCTGTGATTGAGGGCACATGTAGGCTTATGGCCAATAAGCCCCAGGTCATTTCTGGTATGCTAGTACTCAAATGCACTTGTTGGAATTACAAAAGCAAAAGGGCTCAAGTTGCAGAACCTAACATTTACAAACCTGCAATTTATATAGCACAAATCCTGGAAATATTTTGCAAAGTTCAAATATAAAACCAGATTGGTTATTTGCTGTCTGAAAATCCAAAAATTATATATGATTGAGATCTTGCATTTCATACATTCTCTATAATTTGTGTTAATAGGAAATTAATCTAGAGCAATTTTAAATAACTTTCTATGAAACTGTTTTTCAAATGTAGGTAAAATACTTTGTCAAGTTAAAATTCCCTGTTGTGCTTGGGTAATAAGTTTGTGTGTCATTACCCAAAGAAAAATCACTTTCAGCCAATTCTGAGTAATTGATCCAGGTTTGGGAAGCTCTATTCTATGCAGAGATGGATAATTCCCACAAATAATCTATTGAAAATGTAGGCAGGGCTGATGCCAAAGTAGGTAGGAAGAGGACATGGCTATTTTTTACATGTATCTCATCACAGCACAAATATGACTTAACATTTTTATTGTTTTTGGTTTGCAGGCCCCTGTGATGTTATGTACAGCACTAGACTGACACTGGCTTAAAATGATTGTTAACTGTATTGCTGTTTTAGGGTTTTCATCCTTGTTCATACATCTTTCAAGGGCAACCTCAAGATATATGGGTTCCACATAGCCATGTAGTGAATGTTACATATTGAAGAAAAACACATGGATTTACCTTTCTTGTACAGGTAGTGTTCAACTTATGACCGTAATTGTATTAGAATTTCTGTTGCTAAAGAAGGCTGATGTTAAGTGAATTGTGTTCAATTTTACAATCTTTTTGTCACAGAATTAAGTACTGCAGTTGTTAAGTGAATCACATGGTCATTAAACAAATCCAGCTTTCCCTCATTGATTGGCTGGGAAGGTTGCAAATGGCAATCATATGACCCCAGGATGCTGCAACCATCGTTAGTACATGCCGGTTGTCAAAAGGAAAAAGAACAAAATTTATTTATTAGCTACTTATTTATTATTAAATTTATATGCCATCCATCTCATTCTTGCCTGCAGAAGATCTCTGCTATTAACCCATGTGTGCTCAGTCCCACTTGTGCAGTGAAAGAGTCTTTCAGATGAGTCAGTACTATCATCCTGTTACTGTTTGCGATCCAAAGAGTAGAATAGCCAAAGAATAGAATTCGTTATTGGCCAAAGTGTGGTTGGACACACAAGGAATTTGTCTCTGGTGCATAAGCTCTCAGTGTACATACAGATAATAGTGATAATCATGATCATATGCAACATGAAAATGCATTCATCATAAATCGTGAAATACAACACTTCATCATAAATCATAAGATATAACACTTAGTGATAGTTAGGTTTTTTAAAATATTTTATAAATGGGGAACTTCTGTTTGTACCAATGGCTGGCATGGGAGCAATTACCTGTGTTTTGTTCCAGTTGTTCAAATGGGGTGATGTGTGCAGCCATTGGTCAACTACTCTGCAAAATTATTTTCTTCCTACTTTTTAAAAGAAAGCTGAAAGATACAATCTATTGGAGGAATGTCTTTTTGAAATCAGTGCTATGGCTGATTGATTTTCTATAAGAAATGGGGGAAACAGCGGTAGTAGTGCCAACTACAGAGGCAAGGCAAGGAATATTATCCCCTAAGGCAGAACCCACAAGAAGGACCTTTGGAATATCCTCCCTTCAGAAATTGTAACGCCCTGAAGACATAGTTTTGCTAGTGGGCCTGGGGAATCCAGAGTCGGATGGAGGCCATCAAATGGCTTGTTCAATTGTGTATTGTCTTGGAGGGGGGGGTGTTATTTATTTTTCTATACTGTGTTATTGTTTGTAAGTCGCTTAGAGTTACTGTGAGTGATAGGCAGCTATATAAATTTTCTAAATAAATAAATAAACAAACAAACAAATTATCAAACACTGAGAAAGATGAAGCTTTGGGATGGGGAGAATCCACATCTTATTATACAAGTAATGATGTGTTCTATAACAGACAATAAAATCCTATTACTTGGAAGCCATGGTTGCTCAGGATAATCTGAAGACTAGTGTCTGAATGACTTGTCTGCTCTAATATTGGAGTTATTTGTCTGAAGTTATAGAGACAAACTATTTTTCTCCATAGAGACGGAAGTAAAGAAGGATTATACAGAATACATTCTGTTAACACAGCATAGGAAAGAAAAAAAAATCATATTCTTGGAAATTCTGCTCTTAAATTAAAAAAATGTGGGGTAACATGATTGATGTGCCTTCACAGAAGAGGTGAAGAAGAAAATCATTTATTTTGGTTATTTTTAAGCATCATAACACATCTCCCAAAATTGAGTCATTTTTTCATTTGTCCATGTGCTGGCTAAAGTAAGAAACTGTCTTTATTTTTAAGTGGGGAAAAAGAGAGAAAAAGAGATAACAATAATATGGAGATTTACACTTTCAGCCACTTTTTGTGTCTGCTTTATTTTTTCGGCTGCAACAAATTTAAGATGCCTAGACTTCAACTCCCAGAATTCCTCACCAGTGGTTGCTGGGGAATTTTGGGAGTTGAAATCCAGAATATCTTAAAGTTGCTGAGATTGATAACACTGTTTTAGTGCCCTCGAATGGAACAAGTCTTAGCCCCCTCATTTTTGGTTTTCATGCTCTAAGTAGAATGCATTGATTTTGGGACACATGTAAAGATAAACATTGGATATTTCAGTTTTTCTTTTTTGTTACTTTGGCTATCCAGGTCCAGGACAGGGGAATAATCTCACATCTCTCACCTTTTACTTGGCAAAAATAAAAAAAATGAAAGGACATATACATTATTACTTCTGCTGTCCTTGCTTATGTTCTCAGGATGGCTGTTATTTTAGTGTTGCTAAAACCGGTACTACAAATGTGTAACTTGTGTGTGAAAAGGAGCCTTTTTGACTCTGCCCTTTTTGTTATTTCAGGATCATGTGGATGAAATACAGTATTTGTGGGAGTCTGAAATGTGTCTTTTCTCACATGCTATGGTTATGTTTGGCTTGTAAGAGGGAATGTCTTAAGCTACCTGGTTTTCAAGCAATGGTCTTCCAGTGGTGGAAAACAAGTGTGAATTCTTTATCCCACTTTCATGGAAGTAAGGCTCATTAAATTCAATGAGTCTTAACTTGCTCTGAGTAAACATGTAGAAAGTTCAGCTGTAAAAATCCTGTGCTGTGGTAATGAAGCCTATAAATGACAAAATGGAGAAATATTTTAGTCGAAGTATCTCTGTTCTATGCATTTGGTAACAGTTAGAGTAAGGCCATAAAAAATTGTTATAGAAACCATTACAACAACTATGACTTAAAGACATCTTTCACTTTTGAAAACCTTTCAGTGGCCCAGTTAAAGCATCAGCTGAAAACCAGAAGGTAAGTTCTAGTTCCACCTGAGGCACAAAACATTTGGTAACCTTGAGCGAGTCAGTCTCTCTTAGCCTTGGAAGAAAGCAAGGGCAAACCACTTCCAAATTCTTACGAAGAAAACTTAAAGGACTATTCCTTGCGGTTGCCAATGGTGAAGACTTGAAGGCTCCCCTACCCCAAATTTCATCTCTGATATTAACATTTTGATTACAATGTAGTCATTACAAGCTGCTTAATACAATGTTCTGAAGGAAATAGTTTCATTATGCAATTTTTTTTGTAAAACCGCAATAGTACTTGCAAGAAATATCTAGCTATCTTAGTAGTCCACAGATTAAGCATCAATCAATAGTGCAACAGTCAAAAAAAGCTCATGTAATCTTGGCCTGCATCAGTAGAGGTATAATATCAAGATTACAGGAAGTGATATTTCCTCTCTATATTACACTGGTAAGACCACCCTTGAGATACTGTGTGTAGTCTCAGTCATCATGCAAGTAGACTGCTGAGGAGATAGAAGACAAAGAAGAGCAACAAAGATACTGAGGAACTTGGTGGCTAAACCCTAAGAAGGATTATTGAAAGAACTGGATATGTTTAGCCTAAGAAGAGAAGGCTAAGCAGAGACATCATAGCAGTCTTTCAGTAATTGAAGAATTGTCACAGAGAAGAGGGTATTACAGACAGTTTTCACTTAATGATTCTAAGTGGGATGGGATGACAGGTGCATGTTGCAGGCATAAATGTGGACAGGCTGCCAAGCACTCAAATTATGATCACTTGACCCTAGGGCACACCTGTACTGTGAGGACCAGCCATAACTATCATTTGTTCATACTTGGTTACTTGAAATAAAAGGAAATTTCCCAACTAATTAGCAAAGAATCAGCCTATTTCCTGGAGATGTGGTGCTCCATCACTGGAGGTTTTCAAATAAAGCCACCCCTTATAATGTTCTATACTATATCACTGATAGGAATCACTGCCCTCCATATCTTCACTGAAAGGAAGTTGGGTGTCTTCTGATTAAAAAATGATCAGTCATAGTAGTGATAGTGAGGCGGATAAGTGAAAAAGTATGGTTTCTTCCACCTTGAGAGGCAGAAGATGTTAGACCCATTCTCAGGATTTAGAATGCATAAAATGTTTAAAGGACCTACAAGCATTCTTTGTGATAAAAAGAAATGCTATTCATGATAAATAGACTGGAAAGCTAAATTATGAATCAGTATAGCAAGAGACTGAATGCACACACACACACACATATACATATATCTAGAAGTGGAATTTACTAGAGTCTTAGGAGAATATAGACAGGAAATTAAATCAAAACATTGTCATCTCTTAATATAATATCCAAATAATATCTACAATACTTGAACCAATAACTTCATTATAAATGGGGTTTTCATCACTGTGTTTGCTTAGCCACACCTGTTGACTCTGAGGACCTTTCAAATTTTAAGAGGCCCAGGCATAGAATCTATGCCTGTTTCCCAGTTCCACTTGTACCAGGCACTTATTTTCTTCACCTTTTTGTTCATTGAAGCCAGCAATCATTATGGGGAAATGGGAAATACTGAAATAACATATATTCTAACTACCTTTATTTGATAACTTGAATAAAACATATTGATCCACCTGACCATTTCAATAATTGAATTATACTTCAAATGCCCCTCTCCATTTAGAGAAGGTTGGTAATTGCAAAAGTGAAATGTTTTGAGCTACCAAAGTACATGCACAAAATCTAAATGTTATACTCACCTGATGATATCTGAAGTTCTTCCACAGTGTCTTCATCCCATTCCCCTGATTATTTATACAAAAAGTATCTTTCCATCGCAGCCTACCATTTCAAAAATTGAGGGAACAGAATCCTGCATCAACTTGATATGATTTTGTATGGGTTCCTAGTATTCAATTCAGTACTTAGGTTAGGAAATGTCCATTACAGATCAGAATTCTTCCCTCTTCAGGTTACCTACTACTATTCACAGAATTGCAGGATCTTCTTTCACAACCTCAGATTTCCTGCTGGGAAAGATTGAGCCATTTTCCACCCTTAAATAAAAGCCTCATAGACTGTGCCTCAAAGTTTGCCCCTAATTCATACCAGGTTTTCCATCTCAAGTTCCTATTTCCTCTAAGACGTCGTCTCTCTATTGGGCCACACCCTTTCCTTTGAATTCCTCAATCCTCTGGCCCTGCTCCTTCTTAGGACACAGTGGCTTTCTTAGATTCTTTTTGTTTCTTAAATTTACTATTCTACCATTAACTTCTGGATCTCTGCCCACTTTCTGGCCATCTTCCCAACCGGCAGTATTCCTTTCCAGTGTTCTCCTATCAAGGCACATGGGTAAGCCATCAACTCAGTCACACAGTGGGGGGCTCTATCTTGCTGGCCATTCATATGTGTTATCTGACTCATAACTCATACATTAATGACAGCCTCCATAAACTCCACAGCAGTTTCCTGGTTGCTAGCAGCCACAGTGACTGATCTTGAGAAGACAATCTATTACTTCTTTTGAAAATATTACAGTACAAAGGGAAAGAAAAATTCATCTTTCTTTGAAGAACAAGTTGGGCCCTGCCATTTAATATCTTTCATTAAGAAATGAATACTTTGTAGTTCAGGAGGAAAGTTAGTTAACTTATGATAGCAAACTCAGAAGTAGCCTAGTAGTATTTTTAAGACTCACTTATTTTATTTAAAGGCATAAGCTTTTGTGAGCTCAAAGGTGACACACTTGTACCTTTTAATAATTTTTTTTTCAAATTGAATAGATGCTACCAGATTCCCCCTTGCCTCACATTGCTTTTTCTTAGAACAGTTATGGTGTCTTAGCTAGTTTAAATTTATTTTATGGTAAATGATAGGATTACATTTATAGGTCAGAGTGACTTTTTAAGTTTATCTTCATAATGTTTTATATATATATATGGAAAAAATGTGTTTCCATTTTTCTCCTGGAAGCTGCCTTGGGAAGATATTTGTCTTCAAGGAGATTTCAAATATATAAATAAAGATTGCCAAAATTAATTGCCTGTAAGTATTTTCTCAGAGTAATTTGTTTTGAAATAACATTCCATTCTCTCAAAGATATCAGGGTTAATTCTCACTGTTCTGATGTAACACTTTTGCTTTGACCACCCATGTCTGCAATTATTCAATATTTCTGAATAAAACAAATGTTTGTTTTAGAAACAAGTCCCCTTGTAGAGATACAATGCAAGGACAAAAATATTTCACAGATCTTATTTTTATTTGGGGAATTGGAGAAATCCACACCAGACAGCATATCTTTTTAAATGATTTAGTCAGAACAGCACTATGAGCAACAGTCATTGGCAAGGATTGTTGATATTTGCTTCCTTTTCTTGATAATGACTTTTCCAAGAAAATTAAGAGAAACTGAACAAATGTCAGACATCTCTGGAAATGTATTGCTGTTGTGTTCTCATTAAAAGCTGGGCCATCTTTCACCTGCCTTGTTATTAGTTAGGACTGTTAAAAACACCATCTTGTTCTTATAGCTTCGTCTCTGCTTTTGGTCTTGCTAGGAATTTGGCTTTGGTTATGAGCCAGCATGAGTAAAGAAGTGGGAAATGGAAGAACTTTTGCAGCTGTTCTTGAGTCAGAGAATATTTTAATGTTTTAAATCAGTTAGTGAAAAGGCATCTTCAAAAGAATGAAAACAAAAGAAAAAAAGAATTGCACAAGGGCTGGTTTATGAATTAAATAAGCTTGTTTACAAATCACGTTTATTCAGAAATAATGTATTATTACAAAGGACGCGCCAGTCCTGAGAAAGCTGAATACAAGCAAACCCCATGGACTCCTGAACCTTATTTGGCCACACAAGCTGGCAAATTTCTTATGCAGCAATGGATCAGGGTTAATTTCCTGCCTTCAAATGGTAGAAAATAAACTATGGCTGCCTGGGTTTCTGAAATAATTAGGAATAATTACAAATAATTTCAGAATCATTAAGGCAGACAGACAGGATTTGTAAAGTAAAAGATCGATGGCAAGGTTATGACTTTTTGGAGCTTTTACAAGGGATAATTTAATTGTACAATCTACATCATCCTATACTTGATGGTTGTAAGAAATCCCTCATTAGAACATCCCTGAAATTTTATTGCCTGGGTGGTTCAAATAATATATGTGAAGCTGGTTAGCACTTCATAGTCAAATCCCTCTCACAGAGTGGTGATTGTTGGAAGGGCATAAAAAGTGTGCTTCCTTGTGCTGTTGGGAGTATAAAACACCTAAACACATTTACTTCTAGATTATGGACTGTGGGAGCAATTGTCCCAGTGAAATTCAAGATGAAAAATCTATGAAATTGTGTTTTGCTTTCCCTAGTACACTACCAAGACAAACTCTATCCATCTTTTTCTGCTGCATATCAACAGTGACATTTTCTGTGTTGTGGCAGTTGAAGTACGGATGTTGGGTTCACTTGGTACGTTTCATTTCATTGTAGGCAAACATTCCTAGATGTTGTGGCAGTGTGCCTCCTTCCTAACAATTACTGGTCACTGCCCTCTAAGCCATTTCTTTTTCAGGTTCACCAGTAAAACAGCAAAACGTTGAGCTTATTAAAAATAAGTTAACTTATTTTAATGTACCTGTCTTTCAATTGTGAAAAGCTTGTTGAAACCATTGATTAGTGTGGTGTCTACTCAGAAGGTTGAGAATTCAGTGCTAGGTAACGGTAAATGTTTCTCTCCTAAGGCGCAAAGAAAAAAAAAATCTGTGAACTCCACGTGGCATCAGGAAGGACATCTGGCCAGTAACACTCAGTTCCATCTAGTTGCCCCAACTCTACTCCAGATTAAGGGATTACAGGTTCATAAAAGGAGTTGAAACCATTAAAATATTTCCTTCCTTTCTGCCTCCCTCCCTCCCCCTCCTCCTGAAAAGAAGGACCTATATTTTGATTTAACCAACTAAAATTGATTAGAGTTCTACCACTCTCCCATTGTAGCCCAAGTAATAGGAAAATTGGTAAAACATCTTTTTCTTTTTATAGTTCAGGAGCCATAGTAAATTACACCAAGACAGTCCATCAGACCATGGCCAAAGCAGAGAAAGGGACTGAAAAAGCTGGTTTATGCAAAATATGGAAAGTCCCTGTAACCTTATATGCATGCTAATCAGTTACCTATCCATCTCTGATTACCAGGCAGCCTCCATAGCAGCCAGTGATATCTGCTGTCTCAAACTATAAGCAACACTGTTCTATGCTCTTTCCCCTCCCCCTCCCATCCCACTCCCCCATCTCAGACTCCTTGGGAAAGATGGTTTCTCAGGGCCTGTCCCCAGCACCACACAGAAATTCTCCTGCTACAGTTTCAAACCACATTTTTCCTATATAATGTATGTGAAGGAGCATCTCTTAACTGCCTACCTGAATGGAAGCCAATGTGGCTTCTGCTCCGGGACACTTTACATTCCTCATTCACTGACTTGGAGAGCTTAGATAGGAGTAACGGGTTACAAGTTGCAGAAAGATTTGTTTGTTCTGTGGAGAAAAGAAAAGGTGAGAAAGTAGCAATAGCTCCCTGTGCTGGAATGATCAAGGTGACTTCTATAAGACATCTTGATAGGGAGTCCCACCCCCAATCTTGCACCTGCCTCTACAACCTTGTATTTATGCACCTGTTTAGGATTTGTAGTATTTAGAGGGCATCATGGATGTTATTTAACTGAAATCCTTAGTAGTAAAGAGAAGCTAAATAGAGCTGGAGGAGGCACAATTTCATGGAGGACTACCCTAATTTTGTGGCTTATAAATGTTACTCATCACATTCATGATAGCTTAGTCATATATTTCTTCCAAACTTTCAAATTATGCCATG